TTTCAGCTGCTGAACAATAGTACTTGTTTTCATCAATCGTGTACAAACCTATGGACTCGTCCTATCCTATATACAGTGTGATTGTCTTTAACTGTTACAAGTATAATCACTATAAAGCTCCCTTCCTAACACTTAAAAACTTTAGAATCTTCCCTCTCTGCAAACTAGTGAGTGATTTCTTCACTGGTATAGATTCCTTTGCTTGGCAAGTTAGTAAGCTCAGTTTTTGTTTGTTTGTTTTTAAGTTCTGATGGCTTTAGTTTCACAAAGCTAAGCTGGACTTCTTGAACATGTTCATATTATTCCTGTGATGAGTATTCCTATAAAAATACATATATATCTACTTAATTATTATACTTAACTCTTATTTTCTTCTGTTTAGTCAACATATATCTTATTATGAAATGAGGTTCCTGACACAAGATGCAATGACAGGTTCTCCTAAGGATATCAGTTCCTGAGTAGTTTAAAATGAATCAGTAGAATATCTGGCAAATCCTAGGAATTTCTGGACATCTTGAATCAGTTCAGTTGCTCAATTGTGTCTGACTTTGCGACCCAATGGACTGCAGCACACCAGGCCTCCCTGTCCATCACCAGCTCCTGGAGTTTATTCAAACTCATGTCCATTCAGTCGGTGATGCCATCCAACCATCTCATCCTCTGTCGTCCTGTTCTCCTCCTGCCTTCAATCTTTCCCAGCATCAGGGTCTTTTCCAGTGAATCAGTTCTTCGCATCAGGTGGCCAAAGTATTGGAGTTTCAGCTTCAACACCAGTCCTTCCAATGAACATTCAGGACTGATTTCCTTTAGGATGGACTAGTTGGATCTCCTTGCAGTCCAAGGGACTCTAAGAGTCTTCTCCAACACTACAGTTCAAAAGCATCAATTCTTTGGTAGTCAGTTTTCTTTATGGTCCAACTCTCACATATATACACAACTACTGGAAAAACCATAGCCTTGACTAGACAGACATTTGTTGGCAAAGTAATGTCTCTGCTTTTCAATATACTATCTAGGTTGGTCATAACTTTTCTTCCAAAGAGTAAGCGTCTTTTAATTTCATGGCTGCAGTCACCATCTGCAGTGATTTTGGAGCCCAAAAAAATAAAGTCTGACACTGTTTCCACTGTCTCCCCATCTATTTCCCATGAAGTGATGGGACCAGATGCCATGATCTTAGTTTTCTGAATGTTGAGCTTTAAGCCAACTTTTTCACTCTCCTCTTTCACTTTCATCAAGAGGCTTTTTAGTTCCTCTTCACTTTCTGCCATAAGGGTGGTGTCATCTGCATATCTGAGGTTATTGATATTTCTCCCAGCAATCTTGATTCCAGGTTGTGCTTCATCCAGCCCAGCGTTTCTCATGATGCACTCTGCATATAAGTTAAATGAGTAGGGTGACAATATACAGCCTTGATGTACCCCTTTTCCTATTTGGAACCAGTCTGTTGTTCCATGTCCAGTTAGAACTGGACATCTTGAATAGTCTTAGGTATTAGTATTCCATAACCACGTCTTGTCAGGCATTGTGCCGGATCCCTAGCCCCAGCTGGAGTGGACTTGACTCAGGAACTCTACCTCTGTTCTTTTAGCATTAAGAATTAGGATCAGGACTGGTGGAGAAAATGAGGAAATCTATAGTATTATAGGTCCTGCTTCTCTGCAGGAGTGTGAAATTCTAACACTAATAATGTCTCTATAATTCTTTTTTTAATGCTTATTTTTTATTAAAAAATATCATACAGTAAAATTAACCTTTTTTGGTGCATAGTTATACAAATTTCAACACATATAAATATGTGTGAAAATGAAAGTGTTAGTGTTTGATTCTTTGCGACCACACAAACTGTAGCCCTCCAGGCTCCTCTGTCCATGGGATTCTCCAGGCAAGAACACTGGAGTGGGTTGCCATGCCCTCCTCCAGGGGATCTTGGGATCTTCCCAACCCAGGGATTGAAGCTGGGTCTCCTGCCATGAGCAGGCAGGTTCTTTACCACTAGCACCACCTGGGAAGTTCCATAAATATGTATAACCATCATCATAATCAGGCTATTGAAAGTTTGCATCTTGCTTTTAGAGCAAATATTTTTCATTATTAATTCACAATAAGGCAGTAGTGACATAGAATATGCATTCCCAAGAATTGCAGGGATCCAGAATCATAAAGAAAAGATGCGAAAAGAAAAGCAAAATGACACAAACCTAACCTCCTTATAAGGTTTGCAAATTTACATGTAAGAATTATAGTCCACTCCAATTCTCTACTTGTCTTTCAGGAACCCTGAGGAAAAGCAATAAAATATACTGCATATATAAAACTTACAAATAGCAGTGATATTTTATTTTTTAGATAAGTGGTTACCACTATATAAATCACTCCAAATCAGTAAGGAGCATCTTCTCTATCTGTTGTACTTAGACCCTAAAAAAGATGAATCCCTTTTTGTTCAGAAAAGAAGGCAGATGAAAATTTTTTGCATCAGGTTGAGTTAAATCAGCACTTTAACATTATCATTAGAAGATTAAGTCTTGACAAACCAAACAAAAATTTTCTCTGTCCCCTTTCTTGAGCATAAATAAGGAAAACTCTCATTCCTGAAATGAATGGGCTTCTCCAAAGCTCGCTAATGGCTTGAAAGCAATGCAAACAATGATACAGTTCAGAGGACTTAAAAGCAGGACTGGTTTTGCTAAGATTTCTGGGTATTCAAACTTTAAGTCAATAGACGTTGTGTTGTTGTTAAGCATCCCTAGGATTTCTGAATATTCTACAAATGCCTGACACTGTCATATGTTGACATATAGATCTTGTATTTTTGCCCAGGGAAAATGAAACCCTAATTCTGATAATCTAGGCAAAGAAAGCATCTTTAAATACTTTAACGCTTTCATGATATTCCTACAAATTGAAGACAACACTCAGACTGATACAGAATAAGACAAGCAAATGGAAAGATACACATTTCCAGATAGATATGCATGTCATTTATTAAAGATGTTGATTTCCCCTAAATTAATAAATTTAATCTGACTTCAATAAAAATTCCTATAACATTTTTTTTGGTGTTCTCTCTCCCCGCTTTTTTCAGGTAGATGACCCAATCCTAAAATTCATATTGAAAACTAACCACACAGTGATTAGAAAAGAGGAACAAATATTAACTATTCTATATTATGTTGGTTCACTATGTAGCCATTTGGAAAAGGATAAAGCTAGATTCATATCTTAAATCTTACACTAGGATACATTCTAAATGGAACAATATTTAAAAAGAAAATCAAAATGATGGTCATTCCAGAAGAAAACAAACGATAATTCTTTTAACTTCTTGAAATAAAATGTAACAATGACTCAAAGCCCAGAAACTGTAAAATAAAACTCAACCACATAGAAACAAAAAATCCTCTGCATGACACAAAATAAATGGCAGGTGAAAAACCCAGGAAAATATTTTTAACTCATTCACATGCTTTGGATAAAAGGAAGAAAATTAAGAATGCATATTTGCATTCGCTTATGTGTACACTAGGGCTTCCCAGGTGGCGCAAGTGGTAAAGAACCCACCTGCCAAGGCAGAGATATGAGAGATGCGGGTTCAATCCCTGTGTTGGGAAGACCCCTTGGAGGAGGAAATGGGAACCCACTCTGGTATTCCTGCCTGGAGAATCCCATAGACAGAGGAGCCTGGTGGGCTACAGTTCATGGGGTCACAAAGAGTCGGACATGACTGAAGCAACTTAGCACACATGCATGAGTACACTAAGAAACTTGGAAGGATGTACTGAAAATTAAGAACAGTAGTTATTTATAGCTGAGGTGGAGCACTGGGTGGATGGAGGATAAGAATGGAAGAGAGGGACTTCCCTAGTGGTCCAGTGGTTAAGAATCTGCCTTACAACGCAGGGGATGTGAGTTTGATCCCTAGTCTGGGAAACTAAGATCCCAAATGTTGGGGAGCTACTGAGCCAGTGGGTATCTAGAGAGAGTCCATGTACCACAATGAAAGATCTCATATGATGCAACCAAGACCCAATGCAGCAAATAAATAAATGATTTTTAAAAAAGAATGGGAAAGAAAGTTTCTGGTGTTTAACACTTTGTGTATGCTCAGTTGCTCAGTCTGACTCTTTAGGATGCCATGGACTGTAGCCCACCAGGCTCCTCTGTTCATGGGATTTTCCAGGTAAGAATACTGGAGTGGGTTGCCATTTCCTTCTTCAGGGGAATCTTCCTGACCTAGGGATGGAACCCTGGTCTCCTGCGTCTCCTGCATTGGTAGGCAGATTCTTTACCACTGCGCCACTGGGAAGTCTCTTAGTGTACTCATGCATGTGTGCTAAGTCGCTTCAGTTGTGTTCGACTCTTTGCGACCCCATTAACTGTAGCCCACCAGGCTCCTCTGTCCATGGGATTCTCCAGGCAAGAATACTGGAGTGGGTTCCCATTTCCTCCTCCAAGGGGTCTTCCCAACCCAGGGATCGAACCCGCATCTCTCACGTCTCTGCATTGGCAGGCAGGTTCTTTACCACTTGTGCCACCTGGGAAGCCCTAATGTAGACATAAGCGAATGCAAATATGCATTCTTAATTTTCTTCCTTTTATCCAAAGCACGTGAATGAGTTAAAAATATTTTCCACTTTATACATTTCAGCTTTTGAACCAGATGAATGTATTACCTATCTGGAAAGTTAAATTCCAGAAAGTGCTTCCTCTCATATAGCTTACTTTCCAGTACAAAAAGACAGATAAAAAACAGATAAATATACACTTGGGATCCTAGTGAGATAACTAAATTCATGAATACACGGAGCTTAACAAACCTCATTAGTCTTCATGGTGTCTCATAAATAGTGAAACACATAGTAGTAGCTCATAAGTCCTTTCTGAAGAACTATAAAATTACTTAAAATTCTGTTTGTATTATTATATATTTTTTCTACTTGCTTTTTAACATAAGAAGAGCTAGATCATCAACTGAAAACACCAACAAATTGTACCTGTTGTAAGTAGTGTTTGGAACATATATCTTCAGGTCTTCTGAGATATCTCTCATCACCCTCTGATAACCAGACAGTCCTGAATCTTTGATATATTTAGGGTTGTTTCTCATTAAGTATTCTCCCAAATGGTTAATTGGATCAAACTTGGTGGGAATATCAACATCTGCCAAAAGCTTCTTCTTTTCCACTTGCATTAACATTCTTTCCATTCCAGGAACTAAGGTGGGTAACAGTTTGTCGAGCAAATACGCACGAGTGCTCAGTGTCATGCTTTCGGTATTAAACCACTCTTTGGCCAAATTATCCCTGGGGAGTTTTTCTTCAGCCTTTTTTTCTACTTCCTTCTTCAGATTTTCCTTATCTATGATTTTCTGATGCATTGCCTGGGCTCTTGCCTGAACTCTTTCTAAAAGATTTTTCTTCCATGGTTGTTCCAGGTTTGAATCCTGTGCAGTTTGATCTAAATTGAAAATCACTTTTGCAGGTTTTCTAAAAACAACATTCTGTGAGACTCTAGTTTTAGACTCCTCTTCTGAACAAGTTGAGAGTTTTGGCTGGTTCTCCAGGTTTAAATCTGAGGAAACAAAAGTGAAATGTAAGAAATATTAGAAGTAAATTTCAATCTATATTACTCTAGAATATTATTAGAAAAAATTTACATGGTACATTCAAACACAAGTAAAAGTAACAGAAAATCAGACAGCAGTGACTTTAACCATCAGGACATTTATTGTTTTCTTAATCAACAGTCATTCAACAGCTCAGTTCTTTCATTAAGTACCTATCTGTTTCTATTGCTCTTTATTTTTTCTGTTTGTACCTCAAGATCACAAGATAGCTATTGAACCTCCAGGCATCTCTTCTTTTTTTCTTGTCTTTATTGAATTTGTTACAGTATTGCTTCTGTTTCATGTTTTGGCTTTTTGACCACAAGGCATGTGGGATTTTAGCTCCCTGACAGGGATTGAGTCTGCACTCCCTGCATTGGGAAGCAAAATCTTAACCACTGAATCGCCAGGGAGGTCCCCAGTGCATCACTTTGTTACAGTAGAAAAGGACTGAGAACAAAGGGGCTTTCTGCTCTGGAGGTTCTGTTTTGTCACCCAAGAAGGGAAGATCCCAAACTCTTTACTCCAAGACTTTCCTTTACATTTCATTGGCCCTAATTAGGTTACATGCCCACCCTAAGCCAACAGCTGGTAAAGGGAAAAGGGGTTAATTGGGAATAGTTTTGATCAACCATAATTTATTCCTTTGTTTCAGGATTTAGATAGAATTCTCTGATATCAAGTGATTTCTATCTGCTACAAAATTAAGGTTCAGTTGGCAGACAGAAAGGTGGGAAAATGTCTGCTGAGTAGGCGATGAAGAGAGTCTGCCACACTTGTATATGTAAATATATTTCTTCCCACTCTCATGCTTCCAACTTCTTTCAGGTTGGAGATTTTACACCAAGATAGTTCACTAAGAAGAGGCATCTACATTCCCTTCCTACCAAAATCTCTAGAAATTATAGAAATGATAGGGCGTGTGTGTGGTGGTGGGGAGGTTTAAGTATTCATTTGTTCGGCTGCGTGGGGTCTTAGTTGCAGGCTGGGAGATCTTTCCTTGCAGCACATGGACTCTCTAGTTGTGGCCTGTGGGCTTAGCTGCCCCTTGGGGGTATGTGGGATCTTAGTTCCCCAACCAGGGGTCAAACCCCCATCCCCTGAACTGCAAGGTGAATTCTTAACCACTGGACCACCAGAGAAGTCCCTGTGTGTGTGTGTTTGAATATGAACATAAGAATGCTAAGAATAATAAAGAGGGCCTCCAGTAGTCAGAAATTTTGAAGGCCTCTGAAAAATGTAAGGTAAATGAGATTCAGTTCAGTCCAGTTGCTCAGTCGTGTTAGACTCTTTGGGACCCCATGGACTGCAGCACAATAGGCTTCCCTGTTCATCACCAACTACTGGAGTTTGCCCCAACTCATGTCCATCGAGTCGGTGATGCCATCCAACCATCTCAACCTCTGTCGTCCCCTTCTCCTCCTGCCTTCAATCTTTCCCAGTATCAGGGTCTTTTCCAAGGAGTCAGTTGTTCACATCAGGTGGCCAAAGTATTGGAGCTTCAGTTTCAGCATCAGTCCTTCCAATGAATATTCAGGGTTGATTTCCTTTAGGATTGACTGGATTGATCTCCTTGTAGTCCAAGGGACTCTCACGAGTCTTCTCTAACACCACAGTTCAAAAGCATCAGTTCTTTAGTGCTCAGTTTTCTTTATGGTCCAACTCTCACATAAATACACAACTACTGGAAAAGCCATAGCTTTGACTAGACAGACCTTTGTTGGCAAAGGTTTATCATAGCTTTTCCTCCGAGGAGCAAGAGTCTTTAAATTTCACAGCTGCAGTCACCATCTGCAGTGATTTTGGAGCCCAAAAGAATAAAGTATGTTGCTGTTTTCATTGTTTCCCCATCTATTTGCCATGAAGTGATGAGACCAGATGCCATGATCTTACTTTTCTGAATGTTGAGTTTTAAGCCAACTTTTTCATTCTCCTCTTTTACTTTCATCAAGAGACTCTTTAGTTCCTCTTTGCTTTCTGCTATAAGGGTGGTGTCATCTGTATAACTGAGGTTATTGATATTTCTCCCAGCAATCTTGATTCCAGCTTGTGCTTCATCCAGTCTGGCATTTTACATGATGTACTCTGCATATAAGTTAAATAAGCAGGGTGACAATATACAGTCTTGACATACTCCTTTCCCGATTTGGAAGCAGTCTGTTGTTTCATGTCTGGTTCTAACTGTTGCTTTTTGACCTGCATATAGATTTCTCAGGAGGCAGGTAAGGTGGTCTGCTATTCCCATCTCTTGAAGAATTTTCCACAGTTTGTTGTGATCCACACTGTCAAAGGCTTTAGTGTAGTCAATGAAGCAGAAGTAGATGTTTTTCTGGAACTCTCTTGCTTTTTTGATGATCCAACAGATGTTGGTAATTTGATCTCTGGTTCCTCTGCCTTTTCTAAAACCAGCTTGAACATCTGGAAGTTCACGGTTCACGTATTGCTGAAGCCTGGCTTGGAGAATTTTGAGCATTACTTTACTAGCGTGTGAGATGAGTGCAATTGTGCGGTAGTTTGAGCATTCTTTGGCATTGCCTTTCTTTGGGATTGGAATGAAAACTGACCTTTTCCAGTCCTGTGGCCACTGCTGAGTTTTCCAAATTTGCTGGCATATTGAATGCAGCACTTTCACAGCATCATCTTTTAGGATTTGAAATAGCTCAACTGGAATTCCATCACCTCCACCAGCTTTGTTCATAGTGATGTTTCCTAAGGCCCACTTGAGTTCATATTCCAGGATATCTGGCTCTAGGTAAGTGATCACACCATCGTGATTATCTGGGTCATTAAGATCTTTTCTGTATAGTTGTTCTGGATTAAGGGAACTATAAGACCAAAAAGATCCAGAAAATCAGTGTGAAATTTGGGAGCAACTATGAGGCACCCTAAGCTTAAAGAATTTATATATGGGTAGCAGGGGAGTGATTGATCTTTTTATGTATCTTCATCCCCATTGAAGCTAATCATCAGGCACTAGAGGCATTCACTGTTGAGCTGAGACAAGTGGGTCTGGGAGAGAGAGGCAGGACAATGCCTCCATACCCATAGAAAATGAATTTCCGGCAGACTTCACTGTCTGCATATCTCACCCCTCCTCCAAAATCTCAGGCAGCAGGCTACAGAAAACAGGAATGTCATCCACAGAAAAGCAAACAGGGATTCCCAGATGCAAATGTAAGCACACACATAAGAATCACTAAATATTTAAGGAAAACTATCTCCATGACTAAACAAATGCAATGGTTAATACTATCCAAGGAAGCACCATTAATAAGACAAATATAAGGAGTTCTAAAAGAATTGTAATTAAATGGATATCCTCAGAACAGAGATATAGAGGAAATAAAAATAGTTTTTATCATTTTTGGAAATTCAGAGAACTTAGAAACCTAGTGGTCAGACTTCTGTTTCTGTTATCATTCTCCAATTAAAAAATGGGACTTCCCTGACAGTCGAGTGGTTAAAACTCCGAGGTTCCACTGCAGGGGGCACAGGTTTCATCCCTCATGGGGAACTAAGATCCCACATGTCACGTGGTGCACAGTGAGAAAAGGAAAGGAAAAGAAAGAAATCGTGACTTATTGAAGAAATGGCTGATTCTAGGACTGGAGCAAGAAATATTCAAGAGCCTGGAGTATCTTCTAGTGCCAAAAAGTAAAGAGCTCAAAACAACCTCTGCATTGATTGGGACATGCTGTAGGGAATCAGTAGCCAACTAAAAGCTCTCTCAAAGGCCAAAAATGGAACAATTTGAGCAACAAAGTAATATTGGATTATAACCCCAGTATAAAATAAATATCCATGTCTATACTGATATAAACAAATACCTTAATAAATAAATGGGGGAAATAGAAAAATCTCCTGTGCAGAAGTATTCCAAATAACTATGTACTCTGCCTTCAAGGCACTAGAGCATAATTCTCTTCTCCATAAGTGTGGGCTGTGCATAGTGACTTCTCAAAGAGTACAGTTAGAAATAGGGGAAATTAAAAAAACAGAGGAAAAAGAATAACTTTACAGTGGAGAAACATGACAACTACTATCTCAGTCAGATGATCAAGGCTAATATCAACAATGAAAAGTCAACATTGGCTCATTAATTGTGACAAATGAGCTGTGCTGATGGCATATATGATATGCTTGATAGGATGAAATGGCAATAGCAATTCTTCTCTGTAATCTTTCTCCAAAAACCAATAATCTCAGTCACATTATGAATTTTTTAAAAAATCAGACAAATCCCAATTAGGGCCATTCTGCAAAAATACCTGATAGTACTCTCTAACACTGTCAAGGACATAAAAAATAAGGAAATCTGATGAACCGTTAGAGCAAAGAAAAATCTAAAGGGACATGACAACTAAATTTGGTATCCTAGAGCAGTAAAATTTGGTTCCTGGAGCAGTAAAAGAACACTAGGTAAAACTAAGGAAATCTCAATAACCTATGGATCTTAGTTAGTTATAATGTATCAATACTGGCTCTTTGATAGTGATAAATGTGCCATGCTAACATAAGATATTAATAATAGGTAACACTGGATATGAGGTAGAGAGGAATTCTCTGTGTTACCTTCACAATTTTTGTTTTGATAAACTTAACAAGTAGTCTAAAAATAAACGCTTATTAAAAAAATAAACCAAGAAAAAGAGAGATTATTTGAAAATGAAAGAGGATTTTTGTTGCCAATAAATCTTCAATACACTGGCTTGAACATCAGAAAACAGTCAATCAGCAAGCTGCAAGATAAAGTCAAGGTGGATAAAAAGAGCAAAGTAAATAAAAGAATGGAGGATTGATGTTTATTTAAAAAACAGAAATTCATCCATAGAAAAATGAAATGTTGATGTATGTCACTGAAACTCCAATACTTTGGCCACCTGATGTGAAGAGCTGACTCATTAGAAAAGACCGTGATGCTGGGAATGGTTGAGGGCAGGAGGAGAAGGGGACGACAGAGGATGAG